GGTGTGTGTGTGTGTGTGTGTGTGTGTGTGTACCGGTGGGGGTGGGCGTTGTGTGTACCTCGACGTCTCCCTGGTCGTCGCCGCAGCAGGCTCACAGCCCCCGTCCTTCCACTTCGCCCGCAAGGCCCAATCCACCAATAGGAACCTTTGTCAGGACTATCCAATCCGGACCGAGGCTGTCTACTCCACGAGCCAATCAGCTGTCAGTCCCAGCGGTTTGAACTGAGAGGCCGAGCGGGAACCGTTAGTGGTGCGCGACCTAGAGACTCAATTCCAGACATCGAAAGGGATAGCTGTAGGGAGATACGCCGAGACGGACTTCCACACGCTGAGAGGTTTACACTGACTCCGGCACTAGCCCAACCCGCACCCTCCTCCGAGTCCCGCCCAGAAGCGGCAGGACCAGGCCACTCGCCCGGAATGACTACCAAGGAGAATTGGGACCCACAGCGGCTCGGGAGCAGTAAGAGGGTGAGGAAGGAAGGGGACGATGGGTGCAAAGGGGAATTGAGGGAGCGGTGGGAGAAATGAGGGGAGGGCTGGGAAGTTTGGGGAGGTGGGGTGTAGCTAGAACGCAGTGGAGTAAGGGAGGGGATGGGGTTGGAGAGGAGTGTTGAGTGGGATTTGTCGGTGAGCGGGAGAGGATCCGAGCTACCAAATGAGTCTATCATAAGTGCGGATACTTTTTTTTATGACTCTTTTCCTCCTCCCACAGCCATTTACTCCGAATAGGTTGTGTAGTCCAAAGCCTTGTCTGAAAAAGCAGCTGAGTGGATCCTCCATTCCTGTATCACCGACCACCATCTTCTCAAAAAACATGTCCAAAGTTGCTACTGTGGTACCACAAGCAACAGGTACAGTAGTATATTTATCTGCATCATCACCCAAATATTCACCGACTCTATAAGCTACTCGAACCTGAGTAAATTCACATAGGATTTAGTGATACTGGGTATTTTCACATAAGACCTCAATTTTCTTTCCATTGCACAGTTCTCTCCTACTCCTACTATGTGCCATTTGCCAGTATTGGAATGATTTACAAATTGATATTCAAACTGTTTGTGTAGCTTATGGATGCATCCTTATTGGACATTAAGGCCTGGAGTAAAACTTGAACTTGCAGCTTCAAGCTCAGAGATTGGAATGTCACCCACTGCCCAACAAATTGTTTCCCCAGAGTGCTATCTTTGTCAGGAAGATTCTTGTAACATGAGCATTGCCTTGGAGGGAGTACAATGTACGTTTGCAAGAATGATATCTGGCAAAAGGTACTATCTATCTCAGATTTAAAACTTACAACTGATTGTATCTAGTGCCCTTTGTGGAGAAAAGAGTTCCAAACATCTACCACCATTTGTGTATAGAAATGCTTCCTAGCATCACTTCTGAATGATCTAGCCTTATTTCTCAGACTATGCCCCTTATTCTAAAATCCTTAATCAGTGGAAGTAGTTTATCTTCTGTCTGTGTCTGTTAATAACTTGAAAACTTTGCTCAGATCACCATTAACCTTTTAAATTCTACATCGGATCATCCTGTTACCTCAATGTTCTAGATCAGATCACCCCCTTAATCTTTTTAAATTATACAAATTAGGTCTGTTTTCTCTAGAATTCAGAAGTTTAAGAGGTGATCTGATCAAAGTCTTCAAGATCTTAATAAGAAAAGATGGTAGACAAAGAAACTATTTCCTGTGATTTTGAGATTCTAGAATGAGGGAGCATAGTCTGAGAACTAGGGCCAGACTGTTTAGGAGAGATGTTAGGAAGCTGTTCTACACACAGAAGATATTCCATGTGCCATCTCCTTTCATGAACTCTGCTTCCTTTAATCTCTTTTAGCATTTTTGACTTGATCCTGCTTTGAATAGATCAAACAGTCTAATTTCATTCTTGCAAAATGAATGACCAAAATTCAGTCATGCTTGTTGGGAAATGTTGGCACTTCAATGGCGTTTGGAAATGCAGAGTATTGTTTTCCAGTTTGCAATAGGCAAATGATCCTTTTGGAACCTAATTCTAATTTCTGAGATGATATCAGATGTAGTACACTGTGCCTATGGATGATGTATATATGGACTTTCAGAAAGGCTGTTAATACAGATGCAGATATGGAAATAACTGCCCTATTGTCTTGGTTAGGAAGTATTGACAGAGTAGGTATGTACTCAATTTAGCAGGATATGATGTATGCTATATCCCTGAATCCTATGGTAGGATCTCATATTTAAAATTACTTGGAAGTGAGAGCTGTACATTGAGGTTTGTAAGTTAGGTGGCACGGTAAGTGATGCAGATAAGAGAAAAGAGTTGCAAAAGGACATTAATAGATACTTTCGCATAAGGCTGGAACTCCATTGATGTTGACTGAAGACAAAGTAGAACATTGTGACAATGCAGCTGAATCCCAAGCTGAACTTTTTCACTGGATCTTTGAAATAAGATGAAAGTGAGAGTATAAGATGCTACCAACTAACTAATCAGAATTTAAATGTCTCTTGCAATCATACATATAGTAAAAGACTATTAAGAGCATGGTTGGGTCTGATTTAGATACCAAAATGGATATCTCTACTTGGGGCAAACAGCATGGCTGAAGTACTATCTGATTATCTTGCGTATGTTTGCCAAAGAAGAGTGCCAAAGTTATAGTAAAACTTAATTTAAATACATGTTGGTCTGTTTAACCTCTAATCTGAAAAATTGTAGAAGCATACAATCGTTACAGCACAGAAGGAGGCCATTTGGCTTGGGCTGGCCTTGTGAAGGAGCGATTCATCTGGTGCCGTTCTGTACAGCCCTGCAATTTTCTTTTCTCTTCTGTTTTGCAGTTGAACCTGAGTGTGTTGTGGAGGCAGGTAGTGCCTTCCAGATCCTAACTACTTACTGTGTGAAAAGTTGTTCTTTTCTCCTGTCTCAATTGTCTTTTTCAAATCCGCATAAATAATGTCCTCTAATTCTCAATATATCCACTGATGGGACCAGCTGCTCCCTTTCTATTCTGTCCAGGCCGCATGAAATTTGAGCGTCTCTATCAAGGCTCTCTGCAGCTTTTTTTCCTTCACCAAGGATAAAAGCCACAGCTTCTCCAATTAATTCATGCAGCTGAAGTTCCTCATCTTGGGAACTCTCTCTAATTCCTTCATATGCTTCTAATGGGTGGTGCCCAGTACAAGGAGTGATAGACCATTGGAGGCTAAGCCAGTGATTTATATAAGTTTATTATAACTACCTTTTTGTACTCTATGTCCCTGTTTTAGAAGTGTCACAATTCCATATGGCTTTTTTAACTGCGCTCAACCTGCATTGCCACTTTCAATGATTTGTGCTGTGTTCCTGCACCCTCTTTAGAATTCTATAACTATATTGAACTGCATCGCCTCATTCTTCCGATAGAGAAATGCAGTGTTTATTTCAAAGTTAAGTTTCATCTGCCACTTGACTGCCCATTCGGTCAAGCTGTCTTTCCTTTTATTTAAAGAAGGATGTAAACATGTTGGCAGTTCAGAGAAGGTTTACTAGGCTAATACTTGATACAGGTGAGTTGTCTTGTGTGGGAAAAGTTGGACAAGCAAACTTTGTATCTCCTGAAGTTCAGACTAGGAGGTGACTTAATTGAAACACAAGATCTAAAGGGTGTTGAGATGGGAAGGAGGTTCCCTCTTATGGGAGAATCAAGAGCTACAAGGTAAGCTTATTTTTTTTTTAAAAAAAAAATGTTGCCAATTAGGGCAAATGTAACTTTTTTCCTCAGTCTTGAAGTTGTTGAAAGCAAAATCTTGAGTGTTTTGTGGGCAGAAATAAATTCTTAACCTTTCACCCCTTGCTGGATATCAGCAGTAAATAGGAATGTAAATTTGAGGCTGCAATCAGGTCAGCCAGGTATTACTAAATGGTGCAGCAGGCTTGAGATGCTGGACGGCATACTGCTACTCCATGTTTGTATGTATATATTTCTGTGATTTAATTCACTTTTGAATAATATGCATGATTATGGGAAAGAGTTGGTGAATGGTACTAAGTTTTTTTTTGTTAAATATGAAAGCAAAGTGTTGCGAGATCTGCTATAAAATCAAAGCGCTGGAGAATCTGAGTCTGGCAGCATCTTGGGGGTGGGGAGAGAGAGAGAGAGGGACAGACAGTTGACATTTCAAGTCCAATATGTCTTGTTTGGAACTCAGCAAATTACGCTCATTGAGAGTTGGTACAAATAAGAAGGACTGGATAGCCATCTTATGAACTGTAACAATTGTGCAATTCTGTACATTATCCTCACAATTATAGTACTTCCAAAGTTGGCAATTTGAGTCCAAAATTGGCTTATTGGTAGGAGACAAAGGAGTGATAGGTTGTTTGTTTGACTGGAAACCTGTGTCCATTGGCCTGCTACAACAATCAATGCTGTGTCCCGTATCATTCACAATACACAAAACAATAAAAGGTTGGTTGAGTGAGTGAGCAAGGAGGTCTTCAGTTACCGGAGCCTTTAGATGGATTGGTCAGATGGGTTGATCAGTGGCAGGTGGAATTTAACCCTGACAAATGTGAAGTGATGCACTTTGGAAGAATTAACAAGGTAAGGGAGTACTTCATGAATGGCATGACACTAGAAAATCAGATTTTGGGATGATTGCCCACAGATCCCTGAAGGTGGCAGAACAGTTAATAGGGTTGTTAAGAAGGCATATGGACATTTGCCTTTATCAGTTGTGGCATAGGTTATAAGAGCAGGGAGTTATCTTGGAGCTGTAAAGTTGCTTAGGTCACAACTGGAATGCTGTGTGCAACTCTGGTCACCATACTATAGGAAAGACGCGATTGCACTGGATTTGGTACAGAGGAGATTCACCAGGATATTTGCTGAATGGAGCAATTTAGATACGAAGAGAAGCTGGGTAAGCTCAAGTTGTCTTCAGAATAGAGAAGGTTGAGAGGGGGCCTGATTTTTGAGGTATATAAAATAATGAGGCACATCGATGGAAAGCAACTATTCTAGTTAGTTGAAAGGTCAATAACAAGGGGACCAAACGCTAAGGTGAAAGACAGGACACTTAGAGGTGATTTGAGGAAAGATTTTTCCACACAAAGGATGGTAGTAATTTAAAATGCATTGTCTGGGAGGGTAATTGAGGCAGGAAGCATCACAGCCTTTTTAATAAAAAGTACTTGGCCCATAGACATTAAGGGCATATCCGAGTACTGGAAAGTAGGGCTACTGTGGATTTAGTAATTTTGGTCAGTACAGACTCGATGGGCCAAAGGGCCTCTGTACTCTGATTTGTCATGCTCAAATTCTGAAATTGTGCCCATATGCACAAGGCTAGGTTGCTAATTTTAAATCAGAAAGTAAGGGTCCTGATATTGTTGCCAGGGAAACAAATTGTTTATTAGCTTTCTTCGGTTCTGGTGCATTTGCTGTCCTCGGCCAATTTTGTGTTGCTACTGTCCCAACTTTGCTCCCAAGTGTTACATGGCACTTCAGTAAATGCTCTTTGGAAATCCATCCACACAATATCAACCACATTACCCTCCTCCACCTCTGTTACCTCATCAAAAGACTCCAAGTTAATGATGGAATGCTTGCCGATAACTAACAAAGCTGTGCTAGTTTTTGTTGACTAATCTGCTTGCCATAATTGTAACTGTTAGAATCTTCCCTATCACTGGGGTTAAACTGACCTGTGATATTTTGCAATTATCCAGTCCTCTGCTATCAATGCTATATTCTTCCCAAAAAATGCAGTAAAGTGCCACATTTGCTGAAGTCTCTTGGCTCATAACTGAGACTGCAGGATAAATATTCTTCTTAAGCAGTCTTTTGATAGTGATTTTCTTCCATTTTGAAGCTGTAGACACTGTGACTAAGTAGTCCCAAGCTGGATCAACACCCTGCCACATGGTGGGCAGGTGGTGTTTGAAGGAGGGTTGGATGGATTGCTTGGGTTTTGTATATTGTTTCTGTTGGGCTTAACTGTTCTGTACGTTACCACATATGCAAGACAAGTCACCTTAGAATAATGAGATCGATGAGACCAATTAGCCCAGTCTTTTATGCAAGTGTTGTTACTTTAATAATCTATCATGAGAGTCTTGAATACAGGTTTTTTGATTATTTATTTGTGTACTCAAGGGAGTTTGTTCAATGGCTAACCTGAGTAACCCCAAAGAATACTGGATACGGCAGTATCTTTAGACAAATTTTTGCCATATGGGCATCTACTAATTCAAATTCATTAAAAAAAATTAAGAAACATGGCCATTCTAGGTCATAGGCTAATATTGTTTTAATGTCTTCTCTTTCGTTCTGTCAAGTATCACTTAGCCTGGCATTGTTTTGCATATCCCTTCTCAGTGTCTCTCACCTCCCTGCCTCTGAACCTCTTCTAGCTCCGGTCCCCCTCTGGAACGTTTTGATAGCAATAACTGTTGTTTACAGACTCTAGCAGACTTTATCCTCTGAAGCACAAAGTTCATTAACTGAAGTCTGCTCTTTTCTTTAACCTTTTACAGTCTAATTTCACTGTAAAATGTGTGTTGTCCCATCTCTTTTAAAAAGAAATACAACACTGCCAACCAACCCACAACCTTCTTGTGTACAAAAAATGTAGTCAGAAATTGAATCTATCTTGACGCCAACTGATGCCATCATTTTTGAGTTTGTCAATTGCTATAAGGTGATCAAGAACTTTGAGCTTGTTGCTTGCTGTGCAGTTTCAGTCACCACATGAAGCCTTGGTATGGATCACACAAGGGACTCTGGTTTGGTGGACTGACTGGAGTGGTTGGGATTGCACCCCACCTTAGATAGGAAGATCACAGGAAGCATTGGTAAATGTGTTCAAAATCAAGACTGGTTTTGATGGGTGATTACTGCGAGGTGCTTTGTGAACCATGGGTGTTGGATATTGTCACCCTACAATCTGAAGGCAAGTCTTCTGATAACATCAGACCCCCAATTTACTACAGAGATGTGGATTCTGAGCTTCTTAGCAGATTACAAATCCGGCTCTGTCCACTCTTCCATGGAACAAAGGCAATAAGACATACGAGCAGAATTAGGCCATCTGGCCCATCGAGATTGCTTCCCCCATTCGATTTATGGCTGATCTGTTTCCCAACCCCCATTCTCCTGCCTTCTCCCTGTAACTCTTGATCTCCTTACTGATTAAGAACCTATCAATCCCTGTCTTAAAGATGCTCAATGATTTGGCCTCCACAGCCTCCTGTGACAAGGAGTTCCACAGACAGCACCATCTGGCTGAAGAATATAACCCTCGTCTCAGTGTTAATGGATTGTTACTTCAGTCTGAGGCTGTGATCTCGGGTTCTAGTCTCTCCTACTAGAAGAAACCTCTTCTCCATGTCTGTTAGGCCAGTCAGTATTTTAAGTTTCAACGAGATCCCCCAACCCTTGTAGACTCGGAGCACAGAGCCAGAGTCCACAACTGCTTCTCATGTGACAAGCCCTTCGTTCCCGGGATGATTGTTGTGAATTCATCTGGATTCCCTTCAATGCCAGCACATCCTTCATCAGATATGGGGCCCAAAACTGCACTCGGTATTCCAAATGTGGTCTAAGCAGAGCCTTGTATCCTCAGCAGTACGTCACTGCACTTGTATTCTAGTCCTCTTGAAATGAATGCTAGTATTGCATTTGCTTTCCTTACTTGGATATTTCTAGTTCTTTTACCTGATCTCCTTGCCACATCAGTGATACCTATCAATTTCAGTCTGAGTTACCTCTTCTTTTTTTTTTTGTATACTGTTCACATTTAAGTACAGCACCCTCAGCCCACTAAACTCCACCCCCTTCCACACATACACACACAAGTTGTCCCCTCATCTGATGTACCTGAAGTTAGATTCCTGACCCTTTCCATATTCTGTCCTGTAACTTGTTGTGGAAACTTTACTAACCTCTCCTGACGGCCGTGTACCCCTCCCAAAAAAAACTAGTTTTCAAAGTCCTCATGACTGTCCTATTTAGCCTTTTCACTTGGATCCTGGTCCTAGACTGGTTCAGGTGGAGTCCATCCTAATAGTACAGTTCCTTGCTGTCTCAATACTATGCCAGTGCCCAAGATATCCCTATAATGCAACATCTTCCACTTAAGTTAAAGAAGGTTAGATTTTTGAAATTAAACTTGTGACAATCCATGGGTGGATGACCTAGTGCAATTTTTTCCTCTTTAAAAAAAAAAAAAAATATATAAAATGTTGCATGGAAAATCAAGTTGTGTTTTTGATCTTTTCTGTAGCACTGGGATCTGGAGTTCAAAGAGTACTGGCAGAACCAGAAAACCAGCAGTTAGTTAAGTGAGTAACTTTTTTGTTTTGTTTGTTCACTGAATTCTGTTTCTTTGAGAGAGCTGTGATTAATATCTGATTCTGTATTCACCTTTAGTTATTGAACAAGGGTTACTGTACATCAAAAAGCAAATAAGTTGGCTGTTGCTTGTTTCAGGATGTTCACAAGTTTTTGTTTTCTCTTTATTCATTAACGGGATGAGACCATCGCTGGCTAGGCAGCATTTATTGTCCATCCCGGTATGTGCGACTGGTGTCACATGTAGGCCAGACCAGGTAAGGATGGCAGTATCCTTCCCCAAAAGACATTAGTGAACCAAATGGGTTTTTCTGACAATCGGCAATGAATTCATGGTCATCATTAGATTCTTAATTCCAGATATTTTATTGAATTCAAATTCCACCATCTGCAGTGGTGGAATTTAAACCTGGGTCCCCAGAACGTTATCTGAGTCTCTGAATTAACAGTCCAGTGATAATACAACGAGGCCATCACCTCCCCATCTGAGGAGGGAAGTTCTGAGGAAGGGTCACCGGACCCAAAATGTTAACTGATTTTTTTTTTTTTTTCTTAACAGATGTTGCCAGACCTGTTGGAGCTTTTCCAGCAACTTCTGTTTTTATTTCCTCCCCATCTGTTTCCTGTGATGCATCATACTTGAGATCATGTACAATATAATCTTTAATACAGAGACCAAAACCACAGTAGTTGTGGTTTATTTTTCCAGCAGGCAGTGTTTTGAGTAACGATTCAGTAGTGGGACCCCAGGCTAGTTTTTCTGCCCTTAAGTCAAAACTGCAGAGACTAAATGACACTGCTTGATGAAGATGGTCTTTGCACGTTGACTCACCTATGTAATACTTTCAACAACAGGGAGCTGTTGGCTTTGCCTAGACCATCCTAAGATAAGGCATTGTGTAGTAGATGAATCTAAATGTGATGGGATAAGTTGTAACTGAAGTCAGTTACTTGGATCATTTCCAGCAGTCTGAAGTGACAAATGATGCAGATGGTGAGAATTCTCATTACATTCCAATTGAAGACAAATAATGACATTTGAAAGATACAGGCAACCTTTGTAGGTCAGGTTTTGCAGAAAAAGAAGCTGCAACTGATTAGCTGTGGCAGTGCGTATGTATTATGTTGTGTAATATAACATCTGAGGTCCATCGAAATCTCTATTTTAAATGCCACAAATCTACTTCTGAATAATCCGGGATTAAAATCCTTCAAAGGCAGGAATTGTATTTTAAATTTGCTTTATCCCAGGTCTGAGTCTTTGATTTTTACTTTTAAGTAGTAATCTGAGTTCCACATTAAATAAATGTCTTTGAAATCAGAAACTGGTCCATCGATGATTTTGACATTGGACGTCCTCTTGGAAAAGGCAAATTTGGAAATGTGTACATGGCTCGTGAACGGGAAACAAAGTTTATCCTGGCACTGAAAGTGCTTTTCAAGTCTCACCTTGAGAAAGAAAATGTTGAGCATCAGCTCCGAAGAGAAATTGAAATTCAGTCCCATCTCAAGTAAGTTGGTTTGTTTTCAAATAAATTACCCGTCTTTTTGTTGCCTAGATGTTTTGTCCTGTCTAGAGAAATAACGTTCAGTATTTAATTTATAAAATCCTTTTTTCCACATAGGAGGATGCCATTCAGCCTCTTAAGCCTGTTCTGCCATTGCTGATCTATACCATAACTCCATTTACTTTTCAGTTGACCAGCCTCAACACTTTTTGCAGCAGTGGGAAAGAGAATTAGGGTCCAGGGCAGGCACCATTACAGCAAATAATTCTGGACCATTCCCTTTGGGTCTTTATTATAGACTTCAAACAGACATAAAATTTTGTCTCTGTGTATGTTATTTTCTGTTCCTGGCCGTGTAATTATCTGACAATGCCCTCATTCCACAGCCACAGCTATGTGAGAAAACAAAATCACACTACTGATATCGTGACTTGGTTTTTCTATAAAATTGCTAAGTATTTTGTTTGCATCTGAATATATAAATCACCCCCCACGCTAAAGTCAGCCAAAAAATGGTTCTGCCCAAATCCAGACATGAAGCCCTGAGTAAACTTTGTTCCAATTAGCCGTATGGGAACAAAAGGTTTCTGATCTGTGGCATTTGGTCATTTCATTGCTAACAGCATCCTATGTGCATCATCTTTTAAATTTCAGGCATCCGAACATCTTGAGGCTTTACAACTATTTCTTTGATCGAACAAGAATTTACTTAATGTTAGAATTTGCTCCTCGTGGAGAGTTGTACAAAGAGCTGCAGAAACGAGGCTGCTTCAGTGAACAACAGAGTGCTACTGTGAGTGAACATGAATAAATATACATTGCAAACTGTAAAGTTTGTGTTTTTGGCATTTTGTATTTCTGTTGTTTCCCTGTGTTTTGCCCCTCAGTAGTGCCAGTTATTCAGTTGCAGGGATGTTGAGCGTCAGTGGTCAGAAGTGAATATTTTGTGTGTTTACGGACAGACCTGGAGTAGGTCTTTGCATCCTGAAGTGTCTAACTTGCAACAGCAGATTTTAATGTTAAATTTGGTGTGAAACTTAGAAATGTAGACACAAGGAGTATGAGTAGGGCATTTGATCCCTTGAGCCTGCTCTGCCATTCATTGTAATCATGGCTGCAACTATGTGCTAGCTTTCTTTCTTTCATGTGAAAGAACCCCAAGTCCCTCTTTGAATTGTAGCTTTTCTCCACTTAAGTAATGATCTGTTCTTTTGTTCTACCTTCCGAAATGAACAACTTCACATTTTCCTACATCATACTCCATTTTACCAGCTTCTTGCTCCATTTATCAACTTAGTTGTCTCTCTCAAAGCTGTTTGTATCCCTCTCACAGCCTACCTTTAAACCTATTTTTGCCATCTGCAAATTTAGCTATAGTACATTCACTTCCTTCTTTCAAGTCATTAATATTTGTGGTCCCTGCATCTGATTCCTATGGAATCCCACTGGTCACTAGTCACCAATCTGAAAAAGAACTGCTTATCCATACTTGCTGTTTCCTGCCCATTAGCTAATTAGCCCATTCTCTATTCTGTATCAATATACTACCAGCAACACCCATGGGTCTTAACTTTTATGACTTAATCTTTGTGTGAGGTACTTTGAGTGCCTTCAAATACAACACATCTACTGATTTCCCCTCTATCCACTCTGAATGTTCAAAGTATCTTCCACCATAATGAATGATGCAAAATTATCTGTTTTAACTCCTCTGCCATTTCCTTGTTTCCCAAAACCATCTCCACAGATTCATTTTCTAAATGGCTTTTGTTCACTTTGACCCCTTTCTTTCTTTTACATATTTAAAGAAGCTTCTTTAGTGTCCGTTTTAATATTCCTCTCTAGTTTGGTCTTGTTTTTTTTCTGTCTAGTCTATCTTTGTAGCCCTCTACTGGATTCTCAATTTTATCCCAGTCTTCAGGGCTATCACTGACTTTGATTTCCTTTCTTCTTAACTCTCTCCTTTCTTGGTTAGCCATAATTGATTTATCTCAGAATCTTTGCTCCTTACTGGGATGAGAGTCATGAATTACCTCCTTAAATGTCTACTACTGTCATTGCTGCTAATTTATCTGCCCTGTTCACTTTAGCTAACTGTAATCTCATTTCATTGTAATTCTCTCTATTTAAGTTAAGCATACTCGTCTCTGGCCCAAATTTCTCACTGTCAAACTGAATACTATATTCATTATGTTATGCTACTTTCTTTACTTGGGGTCATTATTGACCCTACCTCATTACCAGATCCAAGATAGCCTACTCCCTGGTTAGCTTCATGACCATTGTTCTAGGAAACTACCTTTAATATACTCTGAATTCTTTATTTATAGCCATCCTTACCACTTTTGATCAGTATGAAGATCAAAGTCACTAATTGTTCTATTGTTCTTACATGCTCTTATTATCAATATTTTTACATATTTTCCTACAGAGCAGCTACTGTTTTGGGGGTCTGTACACCAGTCCTACGTTGCCTTTTCCTGACTATTTCTTACCTCTTCTCAAACGGAGTCAGTACTGATGTCAGTGTCCCATAAATTCAACCCACTTCTCCCACACCACTCTGAGCCATGCATTTACTTCCATATCATGCAGGTGCAACACATTGCCTAGCCCTGTATTTTTATTTTATTTACTTAGTTCTTAACTTGTTTTTTTATTTCTTACTAGTCTTTTGGTTTTAATCTGCAAATATTTCTCCCATTTTAACTTCCATCTGAAAGTAACCTAAAATGGTCAAATTAGTAGCTATTACCAACCAATAACCTTAAGTTTTCCTGCGTCCATGTCATTCTTAGCTTTGTACTGGGCCCCTGCATCTGGATTTCAATTTATCCTGTTAAAAGACCTTACAAACTGAGACCCAAGAAAGGAAAATCATCTCTTCCCTCTGTACCAAATTCCCATGCTGCTCCAAAATCCCTTGAGTATACACTCACTCGGGCTGTGCCTCACTCTAGAGGTGATCTCTCCTTCCTCATTATGCAAACCTTCCTTCTTAGCTTTTTACACACTGCTTCTGCTTGTAACTTTTCCCATTTTAATTTTTTTATTGTTGTGCCAGAGCTTTAACTCACTTATTCACTGATTATGAACCATCTCCCTCATGTCAATTAATTTCCATATGGTGGCTAAATTAATCATGACTAATGTTAGTGCAGTTGATCTGCCTTGTTCCTGACAATAACCTGGCTATTTTATAAAGGGTTTATTTCACTTTGGAAGAACAGAAAGTGGATTGATACTGAATCTGTTTTTGTTTCTTTGAATATTGCAGTACATGTTGGAACTGGCCGATGCATTACTTTATTGTCATTTAAAGAAGGTGATTCATAGAGACATCAAACCGGAGAATCTACTACTTGGTCTGCGTGGGGAATTGAAAATAGCTGACTTTGGCTGGTCTGTGCATGCTCCTTCATCCAGGTTTGAGAATTGTCATTTATTACGTTACCGCTTTGCAAATGTACAAGAAATCTCTGGTCACTTTCATGTCCAGTGACAAGACTGGTGTTCCTCCTGAGGCTGTATGAATGTGTAGCCTTGCAGTGATTGGAAATGTACTAGATAGGGAGCAGGCATTTTGTATGCATGCGATGTTTCTTTTGTGTTGTATACATATTTAGGTATCTTAAAGGACCTGCACAGTATAACTAGCTAGGGAACGAGATTCAAATATCTTGCAAGAGAGGGGAATAAATATGTTGTACTTACTCGTGGATTAATGTTGGTAAAACCAAGAACACTTCGTCTGGCTCATAGCAACATCTCCATGAGGGTGGAAGTCCTTGCCCTATTTGAAACTGAGCCGAGTTCCTATCCTACATCTGATTTAAGAACATAAGAACTAGGAGCAGGAGTAGGCCGTCTGGCCCTTTGAGCCTGCTCCGCCATTCAATAAGATCATGGCTGATCTTTTCATGGACTCGGATCCACTTGCCCGCGTTCTCACCGTATCCCTTAATTCCTTTATTGTTCAAAAAAATCTACTTTTTTTTAAAAAACGTTTACTGAAGTAGCATCAACTACTTCACTGGGCAAGGAATCCCATAGATTAACAACCCTCTGGGTGAAGAAATTCCTTCTCAATTCAGTCCTGAATCTGCTCCCTCTAATCTGTAATCTAATTTGTCACCTAAAGCAACCTCTATCTCTGTCTTACACGCACCGTACGACTGTACCATCCATCACTACCTACAGTCTCGACTTATTTAGATCACAACTGTTTGTTCATACTCAAACCTGCATGACCATTATTCCTGTAAGTTTTGAATCTTGATCAAAGGCCACAGATCCAAAAGTTCAACGTCATTATTCTCTGCAGTTGCTGCTCGACCTGCTGAATATTTTCAGCAGCATTTTCTAGTTGTGATTCCCAGGAACTGTGGTTTTTCTCTTTCCCATTTTTTTGTGCTGGTCAAGCTCCGCAAGGCTCCTATATCTCTATGAATGATTGAAAGATGTGCATCCTTGTTCAGTTCTCTAAGGGTTTTTTTTTCTGCCATACTGCGATGTCTTCTGAGTATACACAGACCTACTTGTTCTCTACCCCATTGTTTGGCAGTTTGATGAGGAGTTACATGCTCACTGCCAGGAACTCCCTCAAAATCCCTGTCTTATAATTCTCCTTCCCTGCTTTTTATGTGACTTCACTTTCCCTCTTGCTTGGTGCCTGTAGTGTGATGGTAATCCTGGATAGGAGTTTAATATCAAATCTAATGAAATACATTGTTAAAGGTCATATTTGAAGCTTTTGTTGCCCAGCATGTGGTTTAATCTAAAAAGAGCGATAGATGTGAGAAAAACCATCTTTACCAGTAACCCCTATCAATGATTGAAAACTGACAAATAGCAGTATTCAGACATTTGATTTTACTTGCTCTATTGTCAGGGTTAATAAGCTGATCCTAGGTTTTGTCTGACCTTTTTTATTTGATCAATAAATCAAATCCCTGCAGAAGAAAGACTTTATGCGGCACTTTGGATTACCTGCCTCCAGAGATGGTGGAAGGGCGGTTGCATGATGAAAAAGTAGACTTATGGTGCCTGGGCATTCTATGCTACGAATTCCTGGTAGGACACCCTCCATTTGAATCATCATCTCACCAAGAGACCTACAGGAAAATCTGTAAGGTAATCAGCTGTCAATTGAGTTATGATTGAAGATTTTAATAATTTTGGCTGATCTGTACATCAGCCAAAATGTCTAATGACATATTTGGAACACTACTGGTCTAAATAGTAATGGTAACTGTCTTATTAATTCACCAGTAAGAACGTGTTCTTTGGGTGTGTTGTTTACAAGTCTGGTATTGATGTATCTCCAACTAGTCCTCAAACAGAATCCAATAACCAACACATGAATTTTTTTTCAGGTTGAAATCCATTTTCCATCCAGCATGTCAGATGGTGCCAAGAGTCTGATCAGCCAGTTGCTTCGACATAATCCAGTCCTAAGACTTCCCCTTAAGGGAGTGATGGAACATCCATGGGTGAAAGCCAATGCCCGGAGGCTCCTTCCACCAGAATGTACAACCAGCGGAGAGAATGGAGGATCTCACTAACTTGTATACAAGCCATGTAATTAGCAATCTTGTGTAAATATACAACCTTTTATACTTAATTTTTGTACTTCATGTCTTTTCTCTACCCTTAATCCTCCCTTGATGTGGTTTCAGCTGTTTATCTTCTCAACTTGGAGCTGACCTTAGAATGTAGTATTGATATATCGATATTCATAGAAAAGCTTCAGTCACTTGATACACAGATCTTGAATATTGCTGAAGATTTAGCTTATACTCATTAGGACAAATTTTAAACAATCTCCAATTTATACTACATGAAAAAAGTGTCAATTGTTGACCAGTTTCTTGTCAGCACCCTTTCAAGAAATGATTTGGTTCTTGTTTCAAGTTCAGGTTTTAATATTTTTTCTTGAGTTCTTTATTGTAAATCATGTTCTCCATACTGGTATTCAATCTGTTTTGTGTTGCTTTAGTGTAAATGACAGTGACTGGTTCTGAAGCAACTCTAATGTATGTGAAACATGTATTTGTTGGTTCAAGGGAGCTGACTGAGCTCTGCCAGATTCAATTACTTTGAGTTGTTTCTTTTTGCTGCATTCAGCCATTATATAAACTTTGCAAACTGCCTCTGAAGTTATTCAGAAAGCATTATAATATTTTTTAGGCAACAGTGTCTGTGGCACTTCCTTGTGAAAACAGATGCCATATTCTAACAGTCATGAACTTCCTGCTGTTTACTTGCAAATAAAAGTATCCTGAAATTACTTCCCTTTGTCAATGGAAATATGTGCATGTCAATGTGGTAGATCAGTTTACAAAAAAATGAACTTATGGAGTAGGTGATAATATGCATCTGTTACATCAGCTGTTCTGAATGACAAAAGCTCAAAATTAATGTTTGCATTCTGTTTCCAAACTAACCCTATAAACGGCACTCCATTTCTCAGTCTTCTAGTAGACCTCTTAGGAGGTTAACAACTCAACTTTAAGGATAGATTGTCCTGCTAGTTCATGAAGATTTAAATAGAAGCAAATAACTGGAGGAATTCAAGCAAGTCTTGCAGCATCTGTGAGGAGAGAGAGAGGGGAATTGATGTTTCAAGTTCCTGGGCTTTCAACTCTCATAATTTAGTTTTAAAAGTTTCTACATATTATTATTTCATACCTTTAACATGTAACTAAGGCTCTTCACAAATTTACACAGCTACTTGTTCAGAAGCAGGTATTTAGCAGCATCCTTAAAAAAAAGAGGTAAAGGTTTGGGATGACTGTTTGGGACTTTGCATTAGAAAATAGATTTTAAAACAAAAACTACAAATGAATTCAATATGCTGGAAGGGCTGGTGGATATTGGGATGGTAAGGCTATGGTGGGATTTAAATTGAGGATAAGTCATATTCTGTGACTGGTAGTGAGACAGAATTAGGGAAAACCTGGATTTCAGCAAATGACTAAAGGAATGTAGAAACCTGAGTAAACCATCTAGCAGCAGCCCCTCCAACATTCTGTTACAACCTTCCCTGTTTTACCATTCAAACAGATCGTGATCGATTTGATTCTTAATCCGGTTTACATAACCTGATTGCATTTCCCTTAATAGGATTGTGTAGCAGACAGGGCCATTCAGCCCAGAGTGAGTAGCTAATCTTCTAAAGACTAATCTAGTTAGTTTCAGTGGATGCTCTTTCTACCTCTTGCTCTAATTTATCCGATTCCATTTTGAAAATGGCTATTGAACCAACAAGCCTGTTAGACATCCTGAATCCCCACCATTACCTATTAGTTTTTTTTTTCTGTATCTGAACCCACTCATCCCTGGAACGATAAAACCTAGAGTTGGACTCGTTCTTGGATCAATCGAGCAAATCTCTTAACTCAAAAGTCACTGGATTTCAATTTGTTTTTGTTTGTGGAATCTTATTGCTAGAAGACAGAATTCCAGCAGGCAGAGACACATCCTTGGACTTGATCCCTTAAGAAGTGATTATGTATTTAAAAGGCTTCAAATAAATTTTTCATAGGGGAACGCTGAAGTAGTTTATGGCATATTTTTGTTATATTGTTGAGAGCTTACTTTATCAAAAATATTTTTAAGAACTGACACTGCTTTGAGGTGACATTTCACTAAAAGACAGTTCAGGAGACAATTTTTTTTTTTCTGCAAGCTAGGTGAATAAGACCAAGATCCTAAAATGATTCTAGAATCTGGTCCACACAATCATGAGGCAGAGGCAGAACTAGACAGTGTAAAATTCACAGGCTGATTAGCATTAAATGTTACAAATTTCAAAGTAAATGGTTGAAGCAATGCCAATTAAAAAGAAAATCCTGGTCCATCCATAGGAAGATCCCTTTGTTAGAAAGGCAACCAAAGAATACTGCATTGCAAGTTCAGAAGGAGCTGCAGATGTAGTGGCAAGATCCCAAACATAAAAATCATTTAGTTTGCATGAAGTGATTTATTAATCTATACATTACTCTATCAACACACTTTTACTCCAGCAGCTTTTATTTTAAACACTTTCTTCATAAGGACACCTTCAGTATAGTTAAATTGGTTACATTTTAAATCTGTAAACAGAACTGTACATCCACACTTGCACAGGACACTAATAGCTTGTGTTGCTAAGATATGACTTTTTTTAACAAAGTGCCCTTGGAACTTCTTACTGGGAGACATTGGCAGTTAAAATGTGGTTTCACCACTGGACTAAGTAAATACAGACGTGCTATTATCCAGGGAAACTGCACATGAATGTTCCAATAATAGACAAGGGAACACATGACGCATATTACCCTTTACCTCTTGTACTGTACTTATAGTTGCCAAGAATGAGATATTGCTAAACCAGCTATGGCTGATCAAAGCTTTAAAGTCAATTTATGTAATATACACACACACAAAAAAAAAAATCTGTGGAGAGCATCCACTGGTTTCACTAACCAGTCAGATCACACATACACCATGTTTAAATCAGAGCTGTAATGGAAAGGATTGAAGTGCCATGCTCTTAATACTGTACCATATTTCTATTTAAAGCAAGCACCAAGGAAGTTATGTTGAATTTAATTTTTAAAGGCTTAAAGGAAAAGTTCACATATACAAGTTTAAAACAATGCACTTTTTTCCCCCCTTGAATGCACAGCCATCGTCAACAAATGTTTTCTGGGGAGAACTAAATGTCTTCCTGCTCAAAAACAAAAGTTACTGGAAAAGCTCAGCAGGTCTGGCAGCATCTGTGAAGAGAAATCAGAGTTAATGTTTCGGGACCAGCAACGCTTCCTCAGGTCAACGGACCCGAAACATTAACTCTGATTTCTCTTCACAGATGCTGCCAGACCTGCTGAGCTTTTCCAGTAACTTTTGTTTTTGTTTCTGATTTACAGCATTTTTGGTTCTTTTGGCTTTTATTTAACCTTCCTGTTCAAAATGGGTTTGAAATTGCAAACCACTTTTCACATTGTCTCCAGTTCCTTTCACCTCTCCCAGATCAGCACATCATGATTCAAAAAATATTATGGACATCCTCACTTTTTTCTGCAATCCCTGCTGCCAATGTGCTCTGCTGTGAACACAATGAAATACTTAGTCATTTCTAAATGTTACCAATATGCATTTTAAAATGCCATCCTGTGCCATGGATCTTTTAACAATACAATTCTGGAATACCTTAGCCCAGACTGCAAATTCAATGCAATGCATAAACAGCTGTTCACAGGTCGAGATGCGAAGTCATCCACTCTCCCAGTACTGCAGTCACTTTCCTCATTGTGGCCTGTTCAAATTGTAGTTTAGGGCATGGAAATCAGTGTGTACAGAATCCAAGGCCAGTCATCAGTCAAAGTGCAAACTTTAATCACCTGAACTCTCTTTAAATGTGGTCAGATGACAGTGTTGAAAACCTAAATTGTCATCTTCTTACATATACATCAGGAAGCCAATGAGAATATAAAATCTGCAGGGCAGTCCAAGTCTTCTGATCTGATTACTCCAAGCCTCCAGGTTCACCCTTCAAAGATAGTAAAGGAAGGGCTAAATCAAGCGAGATCACATCATTTTATACTCCATCCTAAAATGATACCCTCGGAAAAACCAGCTGAACAACAATCGTGTATGCTGAATAAGAATTCAACTGGTAATATTTAGTTCCAATATTAATTGAGTGTATTTGTTTGCAAATGTATTAAATCTTAAGAATTAAAGTCAACAAACTTAGTCAACCAAAATTATTGTTTTTAAATCATTAAAAATCTGGTTCAATTGCTTCTGTCCGTACAAAGCAAGTCAGCAATTTTTAGTCATTGAAAATTAGTTAACTAGGTACTTTTCTCCCCAAATCTTTTTAAAACTGGCAAGGACAACAAGTACAATAAATACAAATTCAAATGAAACATTGTCTGCTAGTGGAAGGAGCTGGCAGTATGCGAGAAGGTGAGCAGATTCTAGAGTTAGTACCATTCGTAAAACAAAACTGGCTAAACCAAATGTTCACACTTTTCTCAGTACTAAACATTGAACCTTCACAAGTAAAAGCATGAGCTGAAGGTTTATGACTGTCTAATGCTGCTTTAGTGAATGTACATGAAACACACAAGAAAGAACTAAATGGTATAAATAGAAGAGCAATAGATTAGACATGTTTACTCCAGCAAGACTGGGAATTCTTGAATCAGTGATTTTCAAAGTTTACGCACGGCATACACTCAGTGATCCTTTCTCATCATATGAGTTAAATTTAAAACTTTAGTGTTCCTCTGTTGCAATGTCATGAATTGGGAATCTAACTGCAGTCAGGCGCCCTGTACAAAGTCAATCTAGAAACATTTACACCTCAATTACTACGTTCTATTAATCCATAGGTTCTGATCCTTCTGAGTTAAATAAGAATTAACATGTTTCTACAAAGACAAGTGTCTGGTTGAGTAAAAACTATTGTAGCCTCAATCTCCAGGGTTTAATGTCATGTCTCTGGGAGTTGATTAATATCTGTCAGTTTTGTGTCGTTCAGGATCACACGGACATTATCCAGTGAGTCCGCCTGGCGAATCCGCTCCAACTGCACCTATTAGAGGTAATGAAAAGAAAACAAATATCGGTAATTGTCCACCAATGACAGACTTCTTTAAAACCATGGCCAAAACGTAAATGAATGCAGTCACTTATTCTATTACTTTGGGATCTGGAGAAAAAGTGTGAATAGATACTTCTGAATTTTCATTTCAACACAGTAAAGATACAGAAGGAAATAAATCATAAACACATTATACTTATAGTTTACAACAAAAAAAAAGCTAGCTTAGCAGCAGAGTCTCTCACCCTGTTGAGTAAAAGTCAAGAAAGGAGAGGGACTGTAGGGTTGAAAAGAATAAAATATCAACAATTAGGAGACCATTCAGATGCTGTCTTGGGTTTCAACACAAAGGAAACTGCACAAATTAAGTTAGCACAGCTGGGGACAAGGTGACAAGCACTCAAATCATTAAGACTGACATATTTCTGGTTTACAATTCTTAATTTAAAATTCCTCATGAAACACCCGAGTATTAGATGTCTCGCTTAGATGCAGTGTACAATATTCAAGGCTAGAAGATGGAACTGATTTATCCCACGTACAGCCTCAGCTCAGATCTAGCTCATTTCTACCCCACCATTTAATGGTAATGAGTAAAGATTCCTTACCTGTAATGTCTGGGATAGTTTGACAAAATCTCTTTGTACTTGTTCACTGACGTCAAGCTCAGTCTGTAACCTCTGACCTTTATTCTTCTCTTCATACAGCAATTGTTCTAAGCTGGTCTGAAACAGAAATGGAAAGAATTCTTGTCTCATTACAGCTCTAAGTACTATCACTCTGTGCATTTCTGAATTATTCTCACTGGTCAGCCCTGGCTGTCCGAGTCCCAGACAGTGTTATTTTATTTAGGTTTTGTATCTGAGTGAATTCAATGTGTTCACAGAATCCTCTTACTATAGTATTTAAATGACACTTTTTAAAAAAAATTATAGAATAATTGCACTTTGGGTGGTACAATTCTTCATCGCCAGTGCTAAACAAATTGATTAAACAGCAAAAAGACAACAGATGCTTGGCAGTAGATAACCCTAAACAGCTATAGTACAAAATAAGATGTGTAATATTTTTATACAACAGTCTACAAAAGTGCACTCTTTCACAGAACGTGCTTCTGTGCTGTAGATATCTATATCAGTCAAGCCTCAACAGTGGTATTTTCCCCAGAATCAGATGTCTGGGACAGGAGCCCATAGTTCAAGCTGACATTCCAGTGCAGTAGAGGGGGTGGGATGCACCCTTGGAGGTGTCAATTATCATTGAATCTTTCCATTCCAACAAAGACGACAAAAGATGTCTGATCGAAAAGTTAGTTACCCCTTAACAACACTACTAAAACCTCTTACGCAAATTGTTCACCACATTTGATGAGCAATACCATTTGTTGTCAAATGTTTTGGTCTTGAAGCTTTGAAAAGGGCAAAGTCTGACACCACCACCACACCCCCAACCAATACAGAATGCTCTGCCATTAAGATCATCAGTCCATCTGCTACTTGTTCATTTAAGTGTAAGACTATGAGCATTCAAACCTTTGGCCAATTATAAGTCACTGGAGTGATTTTCCTAAATTAGTTAATTCCACTGACCACAGCTGAGAAACATGTACCCCTTAATTCACACTTGTGGATTTAGAAGAATGGAGATATATGATCACAGTGTCTACAGTCTGATAAGTGATTCATATCTCATTACTTCACATACAAACACTCTCCAACCTGCAACTAGATCATGCATACTGATCAGTTATAATCTGAAACTGCTTAATCTAAATCTCCCAAGGCTAGCTGCCCACCTGCTGGTGTATGACTGGAAACTGAAACAGAATAGGAAAGAACTTGTATTTACATAATATCCCTAGGTCATATGCTGCCCAGTCTTTTTTGAAGAGTAGCAACCGAGGAGCTACACTAGAGTGTCAGTTTGGATTTCACACTCAACCTTCTGAGCAGGGCATGAACCCAGAATCTTTTGGTTTAGAAGTTAGGGAGTCACTGTGTCATAGTGGACATGCACTAGCACATTTAAGATATATTCTACGTAAAAAAAACATTAAAATACATTAATGATTCTACTTGCTTCATTAAAGGTTACACGTTGGCTGTGAAGTTCTTGCAGGTGATTAAATACACAATCCCTAACATGAATAGAGTTGTAGTCCTAACACAAGAGCATTACTTGTTAATATGTGTACTACTGGTTTCCACCAACTGATGGTGCTTCTATCCACAAAAAAGTAGGATATATCCAATCAGAATCCCTACAATGTGGAAGCAGGTCATTTGGTCCATCGGGTCCACTGACCCTCTAAACAGCATCCCATCCACACCCACCCCTTACCGTATAACCCTGCATTTCCCATGGCTAATCCACCTAATCTACACATCCCTGAACACCATGGGCAATTTAGTTTGGCCAATCCACCCAATCTGCACATCTTTGTACTGTGGGAGGAAAACCATGCAGACACGGAAAATGTGCAAACTCAACACAGACAGTTGCCAGAGGGTCGAATTGAACCCAGGTCATTGGCGTCGTGCCGTAACCACTGTGCCACTGTAATCCAACAAATTTCTGCTCCATCGATGTTCCCTCAATCTTTATCGTGTCATTAAGGGGTTCTTGTGGCATTGTGTTAGTGTCCCTGCCTCTAGGCCAGGAGGCCCAGGTTCAGGACCCACCTGCTCCGCAGGTGCTAAGTAACATCTCTGAACAGGCTGATATAGAAAATATGAACATGTCATTTACAGTGTTAGCAAGTTGCATTTAGTTGCTCAGTTAGGTTCCATCAGGGCCACTGGGCTCCTGATTTCATGGCAGCTTGGGTCCAAACATGGATGGAAGAGCTGAACTCCAGAAGTGAGGTGAGAGCAACTGCCTCAACATCAAGGCAGCATTCAAATCAGCGTGGCATCAAAGTCCCCTAGCAAAACTCAAAGTCAATGGGAATCAGGGAGGGAAAACTCTCCGCTGATTGGAGTGATATATGGCACAAAAGATGATTGTGGTTGTTGGAGGTCAGTCATCAGCTCCAGGCCATCTCTGCAGGAGTTCCTCAGGGTAGTGTCCCAGGCTCAACCATCTTTAGAAGCTTCATCAATGACCTTTGCTCCATCATAGATCACTGATGACTTTACACAATGTTCAGCACCATTTCTGACTCCTCAGATACTGAAGCAATCCATGTATATATTAGTAAAAACTGGACAATATCCAGGCTTGGACTGATCAGTTGCAAGTCATATTTCCATCACACAATTGTCAGTCAGTGATTAACTCCAAAAGACAGAATACAACCATATCTGAAACCCCTATAAAACATCCTGGACCAGACTTTCTAATATTGTGACTATAACAGCAGGTAGGAGGCTAGGAATTCTGCAGCAAATAACTTACCTCCAGTCTCCCCAAAGCCTGTTCACCATCTGCAAGGCACAAGTCAGGAATATGATGGAATACTTTCCAATTATCTGGAAGAGCGCAATTTCAACAACACTCAAGACTTTCATCATCATCCAGGACAAAGCAAAGCAATCTGTTTGATCAGCACCCCATTCACCATCTTCAATATTTGCTCCCTCCTCCAATGACACACAGTGGCAGTATTGTGCACCAAGTACAAGATGCATTACAGCACTCACATAGCCTCCTTTGCCAGCATCTCCAAACCCACAATCTCCATCACCTAGAAGGACAAGGGATAGATACATACAGTAGATATATGGGAACACCACCACCACCTGCAAGTTCCCTTCCAAGTGACACACCATCCTGCTTCAATACTATATTGCTGTTCCTTCAGTTGTTCCTGGAAATTGCCTCCCTAACCTGGGTGTCCACAGAGTACAGCAGTTCAAGAAGGCAGCTCAACACCATCTCCTCCAGGACAATTCAGGCAACAAACGTTGGGCTTGTCAGTAACACCCATATCCCATGGGAGGACTTTAAAAATCCCAAAATACCAACGTTTCCAGTTTGCTGCAATACATTTGAGCATAAAGGATTGAAACTACACCAAAATATCTAATCATAAGTTGGATTGAGAAATTCTAGGAATAAGAGATAGAAGTCTATTTCAAAATGTTTCTGAACTAAGCAACAAACCAGTAGGAATCAACTCACCAAAAGTACTCTCGGCCAGAGATTGGCCCGAATCCATAAATGAAAAAATATTTCAGAGTATTAAATAAAAAATATTTAAATAAAGAATTGCATTGAAGACTAAAATGCATCTAATTTGCTAAAGCATAGCGTTGTTACAAATCAATCTGTTCTATCTACTAGCTGCAGAGTCTTTATAAAGAAAGAGAAATAGAAGAAAGTGGTTCCAGCAGGATGGTATCTTAAGTAATTGAAAATAAAAGCTCAATTTTACATTGATCATTCAGCTAGAATCCATGTGGCAATGACAACATGGAGTATACCTCTCATGTCATCAAATACCATCATGGGATTTTTATGATCACCTGATGGAGAAAACACGGCCTTAGTTTAACATCTCACCTAAAAGATGCCATCTCTGTTAGTGTGGCACTCCCTCAGTACTGCACTGGAGCAAGTAAGGGTGCGAGTGGTGGCCGGTAGCAAAACAGCCGGCCAGAGGTCAGCAAAAGTGGAGAAGAGGTGTGTGCAAAGGGATTAATATAGAGAATACAAAGGGATTTAGGAGACCTGCATATTTTCCTTGCCATAAGTCAGGACATGTAAAAGCAAATTGTTGGAAGTAGAAATGTAAACTGGTGGGTGCAACAAGAACACTTAGGGAGCCTTCAGAAAAGTCAGCACCTGTAAAGGAAACGGATTTAAACTAGCGACATTGGTGCAAATAACAGGAATTTCCACAAGGTGAGCTGCATGAGAAAGTGAGACTTAGAGAAAACACATACATCAATCTTTTAACATAGAAGAAAGATAGAGATGCTAATAATTACAAGAGGTTTATAATTGAAGGGTAAATAACTTTATTTTGTCCAAAAACAAGCCTAAAAAAGGTTATTATTGTGGGAGATACTGGTTCAGTTCACAACTTACTATTAGCGAAGGATTTGAATCTTTCTCCAGAAAGTTCATGGAATCATTGTATATTAAATATCACGTTGAGAGAAAGTTTGTACCTTTCCCATTACATCTGGTATATTAAAGATTGTGCTCTGATACCAGGGTCATGTGCTGGAATTGCTCCTAAATTACCAATCTAAAATGTAGGTTTTATCTTGGGAAATAACCTCACAGGTGGTATTCTGTTTTCATCAATTGGAATGGAGTGATCCAATTCTGAAACTGTTTCTGAGAATATATAGTCTGCCTATTTACAATCCAGTTGAGCAAAGGATTTGTTCAGGCAGACATGATGAATCTATATCAGTAAAAGACAGTACAGAGTCCATACTAGAGCTGTAGAATTGCTAAGTTAGATCTTTCAATCAAAGGCCAACAACCAAAATTTGTCCTTGAAGGGTCAATGTCACTTGACACCGAACAGCAGTGTTGCTAGTATTGAGGTATGAAAACAACCTAGGCAGATCAGTATTTCCCAAAATACTGTTGAAAACCCCAAGGTTTGTAAACTGCATGGGAAACTACACTTCGGAAAGCAGATTCAAAATTTGGAATGTGGAATGTGGGAAGTGTGAATATTGCTTGGAACAAATTTCATAAGGTACGCATGAAATGGGATTGGAACAAACTGAAAAATATTAGTGTGCAGAGATCAAATCTGAAAGAAAAACAATGTGTGTAGTGGAACATAAAAAGCATCTCAATAATATGAAAAAAATACTAAAGGGACTTTTAATCAGGATAAAGATGGATGTGTTGGTATGCACAGAAGCCATTCTGAATTTATTCTTTCAAAATGAGAAGGTACTTGATTGAGTTATGAAAAAGAACTTAAAGGTGGAACTGAAGCACTCTTTGCAGAGCTACAGAAGAGGCCAGAAAAATAATTGGCACTAAATTATCTTGGTGATATGATGTATAAATCATGCTAATATACTTGCTTTTATCTGAGTTAAGGTTCACAGTTTTATAGGAGGAGGAGTATGGACTCATGTCAGAAATGTTGATTTTTAGTTGTATTGCAGGAAAGGCAAACTGAACTACACAAATTCTGTGTAGAGTCCTTAGGGAGTTCCTTCTGTGAGAAAAAGAAATCATCATGCAGAAATAAGCTGTACTGATGAAAAGGCAACTGAACTGCATTAAGTCATTGAGTCCAACTTCTGCAGGGCTCTTCAGAAACATCCACTCTTTCCTCAGCGGAGGATGCCCGGCTACTGTAGTTAACAGGGCCCTTAGCCAGGCCTGACCATTTCTTGAATATCTGCCCTCAACCTGCTCTTCCCACCCACAATACTGACAGGGTCCCCCAGTCCTCACTTTACACCCCACCAGCATCCACATCCAAAGGATGTGCAATTTCTGTCGCCTCCAGTGGGAATGCCACAAACAGACACATATTCCCCTCCCCTCCCCTGTCAGCATTCCGCAAGGACTGTTCTCTTCGGGACTCCCTTATCCACTCCTCCTCCATTTCCAGCACCTCCCTACACCCCACAGCACGTTCCCATACAATTACAGAAGGTGTAATATCTGCCCATTTACTTCCTCCCTATCCAAGACCCCGGACACACCTTCCAATGCAGTGATTTACCTACATTTCACTCAATCTAGTCCACTCTACTCACCATTCATAATGTGGTTTTCTCTACACTGGGGAGACAAAATACCGACGGGGTGACCACTTTGCAGAATACCTATGTTCTATCCATAAAAATCCTTGAGTTTCCAGTCGCCTGCCACTTCAATACACCACTGTGTTCCCATGTCAACATCTCTGTTGCAGGCCTGCTGCAGTATCCCAGCGCAAACTCAAAGAACAGCATCCCGTTTTCTGCTTAGGCATCTTGTAGACTTCAGGACTGAATATATTTTATAGCATGAACGCCTCCTTTCATGTCTTTTACCCACCCTCACAGCTCAGGTCCTATCACGATACGGGTTTCTTTCAGCACAGCCAAACCATTTTAATCTACTCTTAGTCCCCATCATCACCTACCTAGCTTTTCCTGTTCCCTGGCTTACAATCAACAACTCTTTTGTCTGCCTACCTAACTTATTTTCCCATCTCTCTCTGGGCTCCATCACTACCTATCTGCTCGTAAAAGGGACCTCAAAGTCAACAAAGGTCCCTGATCTATTAAGGCTATCGGACTGACCACTCTTCTCTACTGCAGGGAGACCTGGACTGTTTACCAAGGGTTACATTAAGATCCTTGAGAGATTTCACCAGGGGTGCCTACATCGAATTCTGGGAGGGCCGCCAGCCTGATGCAGAATGATACCTCCCTAAGCAGGTTCTCTTCTCCCAGCTCTCTCTTGGCCAACATTCAGAGAGTGGACACAGGATAATGCTCAAGGTCACCTTACAGTACGGAGGCATTGACACCACTGCCTGTGAGGAAAGTGGTGCTGACTGTTCAGCAAGGTACTTCCATCCATCAAGGCATGGGCCACCTCAAGGCTCATTGAATCAACCGCAATGTGGAATGGCAGTGGCAGAGAAAGGAGAAGGAGAAGGAAGCCAACCCAGTGCTGTGAGTTCCACTTGCCTGTGCAGCAACATGCTTCTGCTGTGGAAAACTTTGTGGATCCAAAATTGGGCTTCTCAGTCATCTGGTCTGACAAACATCATTCTGAATTCTAAAGGAGCATTGATACATTCATTGTAGAATATATTACTATTTTAACTTGTATAGTATTGTTTTTGCAGCACAGTTTGGTGGTCTGGTCTGTGATTACAACACTGAATTATTTGAGATGCAGTGACCATGTTAGAGGCAAACATGCAACTGTTTAGTTGTAACCTTGTCAGTGTGTGGAAACCTGATTTTGGTGATGGCTTTGTGTATAGAAGTGCATGTCAATTATTTTATCAAAACAGCATTAAAATACTCCTCCTTTTGCCTGATGTTTTCTAAGAATTTAAAGACTGGGGTGCCTAGGAAATTAACACTTTCATAGAATATTGTGGCTTTAGGTTTAATTGGTTGGTGATGATCATTGAGGATTTCAATTAATTGATCAAATAGCTCATACAGCAATACAAATATAGTGAAAATGTTACTACATGAATACATCAACTAAAAGGAGATTGAGAATGAAAAAGTAGCCCCTAAAATCACCGCAGAGAAATACATTTAAAACTCCACACAGAATGAAGTTTTATCTGGTAAAACATAGAAGCGTAGACATTAGGAGCAGTAGGCCATTCGGCCCCCTCAAACCTGATCCACCATTCAATGTGATCATGGTCGATCCCGTCTCAATGTCATATTCCTGCTTTCTCTTCATATCCCTTGGTGCCTTTAAATCAAAAGAATTATCCACCCCTTTCATAAATATTATTCAATGACTTAGCCTCCCCAAACTCTGTGGTAGAGAATCCCACATGTTCATCTTTGAGTAAAAAATGTTTCCTCATCTTAGTCCTAAATGGTCTACTCCGTATCCCGAGACTGTATCCCTGGTTCTAGACCGCCTAGCCAAGGAAAACATCCTTACTGCAACTAGTCTGTCCAGCCCTATAGGTTTCAACCAGATCCCCTCTCGTCCTTCTAAACTCCAGTGAATACAGGTCCAGTTGAACCAATCTCTCCTCGGAGGACATTCCTGCCATCCCTATTATTAGCCTAGCGAACCTCAGCTGCACTCACTCTTTGGCAAATATATCCTCTTAGATGCTTATGCAATCAAAAAGGTCAATGAACCTATCTTGAACAGACTGCTGTACACACTATCTAGCCCTGCCAGTCCCAACTGAATGGCAACACATGAAGTGAAATCACCAGGTCAATTCCAACTTTTTGAATTCATGGTGCTATACTTCTCACCTTTGCATCACCCTCCTTCTTCAGTTGCTCTTGCAAGCTGTTATTCACCTCTTCAAGGTTGTCCAGGTACTGGATCTTCTCTTGCATTCTGGTTTCAAGCTGAAAACAAATGGAGTTTGTTTTTGTTAAAGAACTAGAATGTTCGCGCATGTGTTCAAATTTCCTCCTGTACTTTCCACTAGTAAGAAGTGGAAGATATAAAGGGAAATATGACCGATACGATAGTGGCCTTTAAGAGACATTTAGACAGGCACATGAATATGCAAGGAATGGAGGGATATGGACCAGAGGTAGGTAGAAGGATTAATTTAATTTGGTGTCATGTTCGGCACAACATCATGGGCCAAAGGGGCCATTCCTGTGCTGTAGTATTCTATGAAAAGGGGAATTGAAAATAGAAGTATTAATATCAATATCTACTTGTGGTTTAAAATCTTTAATGAAATTTTTCCCAAGTCACAGCACTGTCCTGTTGCTTGAGACAAGGTTGCAGCATGCTTTGAAGAGCACACTGTCCCAATGACATTCTTTCAACCATGAACCTGCGAACAGTTGCAGATCACACTGAAGACAATTGACAGCGAAGTGCATGCTGCTTAATCGTGGTTTGGAGCCGATGGTGCTGACCAGCCTATCAATCTCAGTGAAGATCAACCAGGCATAGAATCATAGAGACAGAGTTGTACAGCACGGAGTCAGACTCTTCAGTCCAACTCACTCATGCCAAAATCCTAAATTAATTTAGTCCCATTTACCAGCATTTGGCCCCGTATGTCTCAAAACCCTTCCTACTCATGTACCATCAAGTTGCCTTTTAAATGCTGTAATTGTACCACCCTTCACCACTTCCTCTAGCAGCTCATTCCATACACGCACCACCTTCTGTGAGAAAAAGTTGCCCTAATCATTCCCCTCTCCCCTTAAATCTATGCCCTCTAGTTTTGGACTCCCCTACTCTGGGAAAAAGGCCTTGGCAATTCATCCTATCCATGGCCCTCACGATTTTATAAACTTCTACAAGGTCACCCCTCGGTTTCCGATTCTCCAGGGAGAATAGCCCCAGACTATTTGGTACAGATGCTATAGGTAGGATCGAAGACATTGGTGAGGCCATATCTGGAGTACTGTGTGCAGTTCTAGTTGCCCTACTATAGAAAGGATATTATTAAACTAGAAAGAGCGCAGAAAAGATTTACTAGGATGCTACCCGAGTTGGAAGATTTCAGTTATACGGAGAAGTTGGATTGGCTGGGACTTTTTCCCCTGGAGCAAGTTAGGCCGAAGGGTTGTTTACATGCTGTAGACCTCTGACTTTACTCAGCCTCTCCCTATAGCTCAAACCTTCCAACCCTGGCAACATTCTTGTAGACCTTTTCTGCACCCCTTTCAAATTTAACAACATCCTTGGAGATGGAGATCAAAATTGAATGCAGTACTCTAAAGGTGGCCTAACCTATGTTCTGTACAGCTGCAACATGACCTCCCAACCCCTATACTCAATCCACTGACGAATAAGGGCAAGCACGCCACTGCCTTCTTCACTACCCTGTCTGCCTGTGACTATACCTTCAAGGTGCCTATTTTTGGCAACACTCCCCAGGACCCTACCATTAACTGTACAAGTCCTACCATGATTTGCCTTTCCAAAATGCAACACCTCACATTTATCTAAATTAAACTTTATCTGCCACTCTTCAGCCAGTCTGACCAAGTCTTTTCTTACAATCCATTCAAACCGATGGAAAAATGCCTTTTCCACCATTTGGAGCCAGAAATTTGGACTGTGTGTTTGTATATCATTTCCTACCAGCTCCTGTCCCTGTGTTGTGCACAAACATTTAAAATACTAATTCAATTTATTTGCTAAAATTAAAATATTTCAAAACACACTGACGTTGACAAATTCTCTGTTTCAAGGTAAGACTTCCAATCCATTGAGACACAATATTTTTCCTTGGTATATTCCAAATAACAGTCCTTTTTCGGACTAAAATCTGCTTTTTCTTTCTGTTCTGTTATTCATGTCAGCAATGTATTCCATGCACTGACCACCTTTCTTATTAAAACAAAATGTTTCTTTTGCATTTCCTCATTTGCTGTTTGTTTTTTTGTAAATTTAACTGCTTCTCTTTAACTTCCGTAGTCCAAACAAAAGTTTGCTTCCATCAGTTGAGCCTGAACCTTTTTTTGAGCTGAACAGATCATACCCTCTACTTCCCACCAGATGGCACTGTGTAGCATGAGCTGATCACTCGGATTAGCCTCCTCAACAGCTGCACCATTGGTAGTGCACAAAGCTCACAGGAAGTCAAAGATAAACAAAACCAACTTTTACAATTCGTCAACCATTTTAGTGTTAGGCATTCTCATGACAGTTACTCGTCCAAAAGCAACAGCAGAGAAACCCTGGACAAAAACAATGCCTCACCTGATCTTTATCTGCTTTCACTCTCTCCAATTCAGTCTTTAAACTGGAGTAAGATGCTGAAAGGCAAAAGATTAAGGGGAGATTGTTTAGTCCAACATCTATGTAATTGACAAAGAACAGCACATTTTACTGTTAATGTTGTACAGCAGCAATGTGTTAAGCTAAGCAGCATGTGAACAAAATGATGAAGAATGTAATTGTGCAAGTGTAACAAACAGCTCGCCCATCATCTGTCAATCGAAAAGGCAGGTTACTGTTGCAATCCATCCTTAGGCTGAAGGCAAGACCTGAAAGACTAGTGTTTTTTCACTTTTCAGCTGCTGACAGAGCTGATAATGAATATCCGGTACCTGTTTTTATTAGAGATGTTCAGCTTCAGAAAAGTTTATTTACTTAAATATCATTCCTTATTCATCTGATAAAAGCTAACTGGCAGAACAGAATGAAAGTTGAGTTGTTTCAGTCAACGTGTGTGTGGGGGTGCTGGTGGGTGTGTGTCTACGGATGTGAGGCTAGATGTTGGTGTGTGTGTGGGTGCGGGTTTGAGTGTGGGATCTACATGTGCGTGCGTGTGTTTGTGTGGGGGGTCTGGGGGAGTTTCAGGGTGTGGGTGAGTGTGTGTATATGTAGGGAGGTGTTTGTGGGTATTGTGTGAGGAGGTATAAAGAAGTGTGTAGGGTCACAGGGTTGTGAGACTGTGGGCTGTGTGTGGGGTGGGCCATAAGGCGTGTGCATGGGGCACATGTGCGTATGTTTGGGGGGGTACATTGGCAGTGGTGCTGGTGATGCTCACCTTTCTGATACTTACTGTCATTTATAGTCAGTTTTTTTTTTAATGACGAATATATCAGCAAACTGGGTTGGGAACTGTCGATATATCCAGTTTAAATCATTTCCTTCTTTATTGATGAGTTAATCTTAAATTCATGTACTTTTAAAACAAACCCCTACAGCTCTATACTATCTCTAGGAATTGTACAGAAGGGCCACACAGTCAATGCTCCCTTGGAGTTGTAAACAGAGATTTATGGAAAGGCAGGCAAATAGTCAAAAAGTGTCAGATTAACACAGAGAAGTTAGAGATTATATTTTTTGGGAGAAAGGATAGGGATATGCAATATAGACTTATTGCACAGTTCTAAAGAGTGTGCAGGAATATAGGCATCTGGGTTCATGTGTAAAGATCTGTAAAGGTGGCAGGATACGTTAAGAGTAGTTAGCAAAGCAAATGGGAACTTGGACTTCATAAACAGAGGGTCTGAGTGCAAAAGCAGGAAAGGTTTTATAAAACTCTAGATGGATCACACCTACTATTGCATCCAGTTCTTGATCCTCACAACTTCAGGAAGGAGGATGCAAGGAGGCCTTGAAAAGTTACAGTTGAGATTTATCGGAGAGATTCTAGGGAGATTTTAATTACCAGGTTAGATTGGAGAAGCTGGGTTTGTTCAACAAGTAACAAAAGGGACCAAGGGGAGATTTGATCGAGCTGTACAACAGGGTTAGTTTATACTAATCTGGCAAGAAGAATTGGTACCAAGATGAAACATGAAGTGAGGAGAAACAAGAAGCAAATTGGAGTGGGTGAGACAAATAGCACGAGCAAAGATTAATCCAAACATAAGAAGGGTCAGACATCAGGCAAATGCAAAGCAGTTTGAGATGGGTTTGGGCTTCACGCTGCTAGATTCCTAATATTCACTGAACAGGTTAATGTCTCATCAGGAACAGGCACCTCCAAAAATGCAGCTCTCTCTGTCCTTTAATGGATATCAGCCTAGATTAATGGTCAAGTCTTAAATTAGGGGCTTATTCAGAAGGTGGAATGCCATCATTAAATAAAGTTGAAGCGTCTATGCTAGCACATTATTCTAGAACAAATTCTACTGAGGTTATTCTATGGCTTTACAACATAGTTGCCAGACCGTATTCGAGTACAGGTTATGAGCTAAAAAGAAACTATAAAAAGATGTGTATAGATGGGAAAGAAGAAGGAAAGTGCAAAAATAAAGTTTTTGAAACCATAAAAAGAAATTGTTGAAAGAAGATACAGCCTGAATTAGAATTAAAGTCAGTGGGACTAGAGGAGTGAATCTTAAACTAGTAAGTGGGCTCAGGAGAATAGTTTTCTAAAGCACAAGACCCTGGTTTCTGAGAGTAGGCAACCTGGAATCACAGGCTTGGCTAGATGGTCTCCCTGCTGAATTCGTGATGGATCGCAATCTATAGCTCCAAGTGTTTCTGGTACATCCAGGTACCAATGCCACATATGTGAGCAAGAAGGATCAAAAGGGTGAAACTGAGTTTATGAACCTGGGCAGCAGCAATTGGACAGTCCCAAGATGCAGACTGAACATAGCAGAATCCAGTGGAAGGCAAATTGGCTCAGCCAGGCATGTTTCAGTGTAACTAATGTTTGGGGACTAGAAGGTGTTGGCTGTGGTTAGAGATCGGCATTCCAAAGCAATACACAGTTGATGTGGAGCCAACAGATTGGCTGATTTCCTGACTTCTGATCATGGTATTGTTTGTTTTTAAGTAATGGAAGAGTTTACTAAGCCTATGAAGCTCTCACTTCCCATTTTTGTGCCTGATGTCAGATTAAGTTTACTGGTGAGATGGAGAGTAGTTGTACTGAAGCATTCAATGCACCAGGTGCAGTGAGCACTTGGGTCTGACCTCAGTGGGAAGGCGACACAGTTATAAACTGCAGCAACCTGTCAGAATGGGATGGAATACGGCCAAGCCCAGCCCAGGAGTGGAGCAGGTCAGTTATGGAAGATACCCAATGTGGAGGGTTAACAGGAAAATGCATGATCATCATGACAATCAAGAGAAGTTAAAGTGGTTCTCCCACCTAGCCATGAGCCAAATGGTTACAGGTTCATTAATACTGAACAATACAAATTAAATAGACATTAAATCCGCAGTGAGATGCTGCAATTTCTGTATAGTAGAATTTGATCTAAGTTAGTTTTATAATAACATTGACTTTTTAACCAACATTTAATGCCAACTGCCCTGGCAAATTACATAAGTTCCTAAAGCTAAGTTACTATGACTTTGAGAGGCCAGTCAGCCTATTTGAAACTAGTATTGTTTGCAATGTCACAGTCATTTCTATCACATGCAATTGCAGGGACTAACAAAATCAAATGCTTCCACAAAGTAAACCAATTTAGTTCCCGATCAAACAGGATGCACTTTTCCTAGCAAATAAAATAATAGAGCTGCCAGCATATTTAAACTACAGCCAGTTGATATTGTCATAAATCCAATGTTGTTTTGATGACAATTAATGGGAAGGTGTTACATTTAACTACCCACGTCATGTATCATACTGAGCGGAGGGAAAACTCTGCTAATTTGCTCCCACATACCTATCAAACTTGCCCTGAACTCAGCCAGTCATAACTGTAAGAGTACTTGGGAGGTATCGGATTCTCTGTTGTGACCTCTTAAAGGCAACATGACCAGAATAGCACTTTGTGAACTCTAGACATGTACTGTAAAACTAAGTTGTGCAAGCACTCATGAATCACTAATCAAAAGGGAGCAACTCTTTCATTGTGACATGACTTTGGATTACTACCTGATCTTTATGGCAATCTATTTCACTGCTTTATTCCAACTTCCAATTGCAATCATTTCAAAAAAAGTAACCAGAAAGGAAACTACTGCTGAGTAAACCAATCTACCTGGTAGGATAATGAGAGATCAAGACAGAGATCAAGCATTGCTGGAAAAAAATGATAATTCTTTTCAAACTTTTCTTCTTGCTCTCATCAGGAGAATTTGAAGAACATGAATTTAAGGGGGGGTGGGGGAGAAAAACAATATTTATACCTCATGAGAGTAGAGTACTGATTAATTGGCAATTAAACTCTGATCAGTAGAGACATTGCTGTGGAAAATGCACCAATTAATGATAGTGGATTTAACTGCCAAGATTTTGTTTAAATTTTAAACCAGGTAGGTTGATTTTGATTGGTCATGACATTGCACCAAGAAATGAAATGGCTGTCACTTATTTTGTTAGGTTGAAACAGGCACAGTGTGTGTACTGTTTGCCAACTAGGGTGCCCTATGTTATTAGCACATCTAGCTTTCAGTGTACACAAGAGCACTACACTACGACCCCAACTGACAATCCTAAATTGGTTATCAGTGGAACAATTCTCCCACTCAGGGTTATCCAGCAAATGCCATCCAATTGCGGAATCACATCTAACTTGAACATGTGGCCTGGTCGAGATACCCTGATCTTATCAGCATAGCCATTATTCTACAGGATGGCTTTGATGCTTCCCAATTTCATAGAGTTTTCATAGTCTCAGGGTCTATATATGAGGTTGCTGATAAGGCCAATCTTCTAGTACATGGAACTGTAGCAATCCCAAAGTGTATAACAAAGGCAGATATGCAGTAGGGAGCAGTAGAGGACTCCTGATTGATTTCTCAATGAGAAATCAACTTCTCATTGATTCTTCCATTTCAAATGTGAATTTGAGTGCAGGTTAGACATACAAGAATTTCCTTTCATACAGCTGTGGATTCAAATATAAACATGCATACTAGAAATATGCAAGGGCTAGGAGAAATGCAATGTGGAATAAACTGGAAAATATGTTTACTACTGCACAGGTCCCTATGGTTTTTCAAATAGACAACATGTGCACTCATTGTGCCTGTTTGAACTGGATTGTCCTGAGAAATGAACCAACAAATGACTGTGCCCTGACCAATCAGAGTTAACTCGCCTGGTTCATATTTAAGCAAAGCCTAAGAGTTCACTGTTAATCATGATTAATTGGTCCATTCTTCTTTGCAATGCCTCTACAAGAGTCTAATTGCCGACCAGTCAGCACTCTCTGCTCATGCAGTATAAATGTTGGTTTTCCCCTTGAATTAGTATTCTTGTGAATTATCCTGATGAGTGCACAATCAAACACTTCAACAAAAAAACTTTTAAGCGTTATTTAGGTTCTGTACTACCAAATGTTGAAACGGTCAATTTTTAAACTTATGATCGTATTAGTCGATAAAATATTCTATTTTAACTTCAACTATTGGCACAACAGTATACGTGATGAATCATGCATCTTGTTCAGACACGGAAGCAACAAGACATTGTCAACTTTGAAGAAGAACTAATTAAGTAATGGCAAAGATTATGGTTCAAACCCTGAAGATTTCAGGAAGGAAGAGACAACAAGCAAGTGTGAATAACAGCAGAAAGGGATCAGACTTCAGCATCATGAGGACTTGGAGAGGATCAGTGTAGGATAGTGCCTGTGAAGTTTAGAATAAGTGAGACATTCAATGAAGCACTACACATTGTGTCAATGAGAACATGGAAAACAAGAAAGGTAACAAATGAGAAGGCTTGAAGACTAGAAGGATTGCCTATGTGGTACAAATTTAACATCCAAAGAGGTATTTTGTGGTCTTTTAATTCACTTTTGAGCTGTTTGAGACTATACTTTATAATGACAATGGCAGTGTGACCTTCTTGGGTTTTGCATATTGTAGTGTAACCTGTCAACTCTTGTTAGTGAGCCAGCTAAGCAAATCTCCAGCAGGCAAAATTAATTAACAGGTAAAATTTAAGACAGTATTCACAGGCTTCATACCTTCCAAGATGTCTAGGAGTTGAGAAAGCCAACAATAAGGAACAGATACAAAAAAAATTACAGACAGAAACACAAAATAACAAGATTACGCAAGTTTAAAAAAGACGCTTCTTCAAGGCTGTTTAATATTTAATCCATTTCCTATTCTAAGATATAGAACAGATTCTTATCCTGAACAAAAACAGAAGTTGCTGGAAAAGTTCAGCAGGTCTGGCAGCACTTGTGGAGTGAAAATCAGAGTTAACGTTTCGGGTCCGGTGAGGTAGCTAGGAAAATGTCGGTTTATATGCAGAAAATAGGGAGGAGGATGGGGTACGGAGGAAACGATAGGATAGCGCCCGAAAAGAGAAAAGAGCAGTTGGATAGACAAAGGAGTTGATAATGATCTGGCTCGGAGGGTGAATAGTTGTTAATGGGATCTGTTACTGACTAACACTAGGTGGTGTGTAATGGCAGGCTGTGTGATAATGAGGCCTGGTGTGTGGGGGTAGGAGGCTAGGTCATGGGAGAATTTAGGCCCTAAAATTATTGAACTTTTCAGGGTTAAGTGTGAGGTGATTCATTTTGGAAGGACAAACTTGAAAGCAGAATACAGGGTTAACGGAAAGATTCTTGGCAGTGTGGAGGAGCAGAGGGATCTTGGGGTTCATGTTCACAGTTTCCTGAAAGCTGCCACCCAGGTGGATAGAGTTGTTAAGAAGGTGTATGGTGTGTTAGCTTTCATTAATAGAGGGATCGAGTTCAAGAGCCGTGAAGTTATGCTCCAGCTATACAAAAGCCCGGTTCGGACACATCTGGAGTATTGTCCAGTTCTGATCGCCTCATTACAGGAGAGATGTGGAGGCGTTGGAAAAGGTGCAGAGGAGATTTACCAGGTCATTGCCTGGAATGGAGGGAAGATCTTACGAGAAACGGCCGAGAGCGCTAGGGCTTTTCTCTTTAGAACGACGAAGGATGAGAGGTGACTTGATACAGGTGTACAAAATGATCAGAGGTATAGATAGAGTGGACAGCCAGAGACTTTTTCCGAGGGTGGAGGTAGCTATTATGAGGGGGCATAGTTTTAAAGTAAGTGGAGGTAGATATAGGACAGACGTCAGAGGTAGGTTCTTTACTCAAAGAGTGGTAAGGGCGTGGAATGCATTGCCGGAGAGGGTAGTGGAGTCGGGCTCGTTAGGGGCATTTAAGCGGCTATTAGATAGGCATATGGATGATAGTATAAGGTCAGAGTGGAGGTTAGATAGACCTTAGGATTAGGGTAAAAGTTCGGCACAACATTGCGGGCCGAAGGGCCTGTACTGTGCTGTACTGTTCTATGTTCTACGTTCTATGTTCTAACTTGATATCGAGTCCAGAGGGCTGCAGGGTCCCCAAGTGGAAAATGAGGTGTTGTTCCTCCAGCTTATGTTGAGCTTCGTTGCAACACTGCAGCAAGCCAGAGACAGAGACATTGGTCAGGGAACAGGGCGGTGTGTTAAAGTGGCAGGCAACAGGTAGCTCAGGGTCTTTTTTGCGAGCAGAACGTAGATGTTCTGCGAAGCGGTCAGTTTATGCTTTGTTTCCCCAATGCAGAGGAGACCACATTGTGAGCAGTGAATGCAGTAGACTAGATTCTGGGAAGTGCAGGTGAAATGCTGCTTCACCCGGAAAGTACGTTTGGGCCCTTGGATACTGGGGATGGAGGACGTGAATGGGCAGGTGTTGCACCTTCACCAGTTGCAGGGTAAGATGCCATGGGACTATAGGGTGGTGTTGGTGGTGAAGGAAGAGTGGACCAGGGTATCCCGGAGGGAACAGCCCCTTCAGAAGGCAGACAAGGCAGGGGAAGCGAATGTGTCTGGTGGTGGCATCTTGCTGGAAGTAGCAGAAATGGCGTCTGACGACCTTCTGGATGTGGATGCTGGTGAGATGGTAGATGAGGACAAGGGGAACCCTATCGCTGTTGCGAGAGGGGAGAGAAGGCATGAGGGCAGAAGTGCGGGAGATGGTTCGGACCTGGTTGAGGGCCCTGTCGATAACGGTGCTGGGGAATTCTTGGTTGAGGAAGAAGGTGGACATTGCAGAGGCTCCCTTGTCGAAGTTGGCCTCATCTGAACATATGCGACAGAGATAGAGGAACTGAGAATGGGATAGAGTCTTTACAGGAAGCAAGGTATGAGGATGTATAGTCCAGGTAGCTGTGGGAGTCAGTGGGTTTATAGTGGATATTAGTGGCCAATCTATCCCCAGAAATGGAAACAGAGATGTCGAGGAAGAGAAGGGAAGAGCCAGAGATAGACTTGGTGAAAGTGAGGGTAGGTGGAAATTGGTAGCAAAAATCAAAGAACTTTTCCAATTCTGGACGAGAGGGAAGTGGCACAAATGATATCATCGATATATCAAAGAAAGAGTTGTGGGAGGGGGCCAGGAATAGGACTGAAACTTATCCTGCATTTTTTTTTAGAATTCCTTTGATATGTAACATTCCATTGGACTCTCTAATCTATAGAGATTAGTCTAAAATCAATGAAATCTTTCAACTTTTCAGGCCTCAAGACAGCACTCTACTTACTATTCCCCATTTCTAACTGGTCTTTTGCCAAAATGGCACATCAAGCGGGCAGTCAGAGCTTGGTGAGGAGACCCCAGCTGACAGAGCAGAAACAGGAGACGCAGAAGATAGAGAAAGAATGTTATCTCCTGTGGGTCTCTGCTGACTTCCATCTTGCTTTTAAAGTTGAACATACAAGGACTTTCCAAATTTAACATTCTCATGTTGTGACAGAATCCATTACCAATGCCACTCCATCCCTTCCCCCATCTCTCCTGAAAATATTGTAGCCAGGAATAGTGACTTCTCAGACTTGTTAAAACCTAAAACACCTCTCAATGATAACAGACTCCTCAAACGTCAATAAGTTTCAAATTCTCCAGTTGTTTTCAATGGTGCCCTGTGGTACTGCAGCCAATCAATGAAATATTGGCATGCAATGTGCAATGTTTCCCCAGCACCACCACCTTTTCAAAGTTGCCCTTTATCCAGACATGCCAACTTGCCTCCATGCAAAGAAACTGCAAGTCATAAATTCTTTTTTAAAAACTTGGTGAAATATGTACTGTCTGCATTAAACAAGGCAAAACACACACAATACAAAATTGCACTATTTTTTGAAGAGGGACCTGACCTAGCAAATGATACCTGCAATTTGGTGGAGCAATGTGCAAAACCAAACTGAGACACACAAATTCATGCTGAGCCAATCACTTGTTCCTCCTTTTGACTAGTGACTCTAACTGCACACAGACATTTCACTCTGCAGCACCAGATAAAATCAACCAACCTAACTCTAGCTCTGCTTCCACAGCAGCAGGCCATGTTAGGTGACCTAAGCTGAGTGAGCAAAAATCACTCCATCACCTGAGTTATCCTATGCTGTGGTAATGTTTCATCACTAAGCCACATCTTGTGAAAAACCACCAGACTCTAAGGTCATATTAACCTGCTCCCATAATTGAACATAATTCCTGACAATCTACCAAAAGAACATACATTTCATATCATATATATTTCTATATTATACTAACAATGTGTTAGTGAACTGGTAAACCAGAGGCCTTGTTTAGTGATCTAGATACAAGAGTTCAAATCTCAGAATTGTGGGGAGTTTAACTCCAGCTATGTTGGAATACCATTACTGTAACAGTAGCAATTCAACTGCCAGGCTATCACTAAAACTTAGCAGAATCTCTAATGTCCTTTAGGGAACAAAATCTGCTGTCCTTATCCAATCACACTACTTGTGACTCAAGACCACTCAGATTGACACTCAGATTGACTCTCACCTTGCCTCTAAAATGGCCTAACAAACAAATGTCTCAAGGGCAATCAAGATTGCACAGTTAAACACTTTTTTTCCCCAGGAGAAATCTTACTTAAATGTAACTTAACAAGTACATAAACACTTCAATGATTCAATTGTTGTACAATAAAATGTTGATTTAAAACTGAGAAATCTAGGTAAAAGATTAATGCTTATTTCCAAAAATAATATTAATAGAAAAGAAATCTAAATGTTATTTGTCAGCATTTAACATTAAACATGACAAACCCACACTTTCTATTGTAGTCACTGCTGCATTCGTTTACTATGGACTTAAAGATCCGTCCACAAAATATGGAACCACTGAGGTAATAGAAACTGCAAATGCTGACATTTTCAAAAAAAAATGCACGTTTTCATTTTTACTTACCAATCTCCTCTTTGCAATTATCTATTTCCAGCTGTAGCGTTTCTTCAATGTTCTCCTTCAGACACTGTTCTGCCTGTATCTGCTCCTTCAGGAAAAAGATTTCTGCCTTTAGTTTCTCCTCCAGATGATCAGCTGCTGTCCGCACGCTGACAATATTTTCACGATATTTCTGCACTAGTTCATGCAGTTCCTGAAATAATGAGATAAGTATTCAGACAGTGCAGCACACACTGGCATATCCCAACAGCAAAGCAACTGTGGCTGAGGAGGCAGTCAGCTGGACTGTTATTCATTCACCTACACTCAGGCATGGCCACCATTGTCATAATTCAATCAGCTTGAAAACAACTTTACCTCTTTTGACCTGTTGCCACCCCACAACAGTACATTCAAGACTGGGAACCTGGAGAGCCAAAGGCAGTCAAACCTCTGCAGCATCTGATTTTTCCCAGTCAGAATGATGTAATACAAACTGGGAAGGAAAGAGAAATGTATTTTACCTCAAGATACTTAGTAAAAACCAGGAGGGGAGGTGAGCAGTATTTGTTTATTAACAGTGAGTTGGGATCTACTGCCTATCAGGGTGGTAGAGGCAAAATCACTACTAGCTTTCAATAGGGATAG